TTTTCACATCTCCTCCGGACTCCACCAGCTGCACCTGGGACCAGACACCTGAGAATAAAGACAGGCCATTAATATCGGTATAAAAACAGCGCTAACACAATATTCTTCTAACTCTGCCAGTTATTCAGAGGAGGAAAATACCTTCCGAAGCTGCTACAGCAAAAATTACAAGGAGGAAAAATCCCATTTTCCCTGGTGCTGGAGGGGAAAGTTCTCAGGGGACTGGCTGGTCACTGCACAGACCCAGGGGCTGCGGATTGTGTCTCCAGATGCAGCCTGGGCAGAGAGAGGCACAGATTTAAACAGGAAACTGTCTCCCTCATTTGCATACCCCCCCTTTATAAGAGACATACACTCCTGATGCCAGTGATCTGACTGACTCGCCCCAGGGCTCTGGGTGCGGGAGTCAGACTGTCCCATCCTGTGTGTCTGTGCAGCACCGTGCACAGGGTGCTGGGATCCTCCTGACACTTTCTGACCCCTGGGAGGAATGACCAGCTCCCTGCAGTGACTGTATTTCCTCACCCAGGAACTGAGGGCCTGGCTATTGTGAGGTGATATTGGGGATTTGGGGGACTCAGCTCTGGAGCCCCGTTCCACGCGCACAAGGGCCATGCAATGTCCGGTCAGGGGGGTCAGTGTCTGGGGAGGGGTCGTCTCCCAGGGATCCATTGGGCTGGGCCACCCACTGGAGAGGGAAAATTTCCCAGGGTGCAGGGAGGGAAAGCCCCTTTCCCTTCCCGGCTGTGACCGGCTACATTGAAATGATCCATAGCACTAGGGACGTGATCTGAGCAAGCCTGGCTCATGCTTTGAACCAGGTCTGGGGTCCACCTGTGGGTGCAGGTGGGAGAAGCTGGGGGACGGGGGGGAGCCTAGGGACAGAGTTAAAGTTTTGCAGTGGAGCCTCCCTGACATTGGTGGGTCGAGAGCGACGTATCTGGGAGTTTTTCTTTAGGGGAGAGTCGAGGAGGATTCAGGCTACAGTGAAGGAAGATTATTATGCACGGCTGATATTTATATTCGTGTTTATATTCCTGTTCCCAGTCACACTCCACTTCCCATTTACACTCGGATTGTAAACTCGGTGGGACTGAGAGAGGTTTTATGGTCTGTGTTTGTACCGTGCCTAGGACTATGGGAGCCTAGACTATAATTTAGAATATAAGAAAGGTCAGACTGGGTCAGACCAAAGGTCCATCTAGCCCAGTATCCTGTCTCCCGACAGTGGCCAATGCCAGGTGCCCCAGAGGGAATGAACAGAACAGGGAATCACTGAGTGATCCACCCCCTGACGCTCATTCCCAGCTTCTGGAGACCCTAGTCGCTAGACCCACAACCAGCCGAAATCTGTCACCACTAAGCATCATCATGAAGATCATTTACTTAGTTAATTATTAATAAGCAATAAAGTGTAGACAGAAACTTTCTCCTGGTTGTGTTTAAAGAACTTTTGTGATATGAACGCTACGTGTTTTTCAACCATCCCCACGATGTAATATTGAGAGATAACAGCAAAAACATTTCCATTCCCAGACAAGTATCAGCATTCACGCTGAAACAGAGATCTCCATTCCCACTACACCCATGCTCCCTTTCATATCCCCACACTCATTCACACATACTGGAGGGAGGGAGGGAGGGAGGGAGGGAGGGAGGGAGGGAGAGAGAGAGAGAGAGAGAGAGAGAGAGAGAAGAAAA